GACTGTCAATGCTGGTCCTCCCCCAAACTCCCAACCAGTTTGTAAAACATTTACCCTCGTGCTGATCTGACATGGCAAATGTCTTCCATGTCCTTTCAGTGGCAGCCAAAATCCCTGGAGCTGACAGCCTGCGTTGGGGACCTCGGGGACTCTCACTCATCATGAATATTGCATTGGGCCTGTTTGCATGCTTTCACATAGACTGCAGCTCGGAAGCGCCGCCGCGACGTTCTCAGAGTGACTTGCAGCAGTATTCATGTCCCCAGAGCTTTCTGCAGCCTCGAAGCTTTTTTTCCCTCCCTCCTAAGATCCACCTCCATCCATCTTCCTGAGCAACGCTTAGCCATTTCCCCCCCCGTCACCGATGAAAAACGCCACACAGCATGACGCGGCCGCCTCCGTGTTTCGCCATAGGGGTTGGAGCATAACAACATGTTAAGATCTCATCTATCCAGTCCACCACATGCTCGCTCTGTCCCTCTACACGGCTGGTTGCAAACGCCAAAGTGAACTTCGGTTCACTTTGCCATTATGCCACAAAGGCCACGTTTTGAAAAGAACGTGACCTTTACTTACCTTGTTACCTCTTGGCTCTTTCTCTGATTAATGCTCTCCTTGCGCGGCGTGGCAGTTTAGGAGCATATCCGGGTCTCAGTGGGTTTGTGGATTTTCACCTAAAGATTTCTGGCGTTAAAAGATGTTCAAATAGCAGGATATTGGTTTTCTAACCTCACTCCGCTTTAAACCCTGACCCGTTTGAGGATTTCCTTGGTCATCATGATAATTTTTCCCTCGCTAATGTTCTCTGACAAAAACCTCTTAGGTCAAAAATGAAACAGCTGCGTTTACGCTCTGACCGAATTACGTGCAAGTTGATTTGTGGCAGTGGATTTCATTTGAGGGCGTCCAAGTAAAGAGCTGGATGCAAACTCAAACCGCACTTTTTGGATTTCCGTCGCAAAATACGTTAAAAACTTCATGTTTGCCTGCCAGCTTACAATCATGCAGCACTTTGAGTTGGCCAGTCAGATAATTAATCAGATGTGAATGGGGAGGGAGGTTGTGATGCCTGAAGGAAAGAGCAGGAGTGAGCAGGTTGGAACAGCTGCAGGCAAACAGTCGATCCCGCGTCCCCGGGAAACCAAACGAGTCGGGTCAGGGGCCGGGGAGGAGGGCCAAGAGGCCGCGACCCCTCGGAAGCCCGGGGCCCCGGCGGGGAGAACCAGGCGCCAGGTTGGGAAAATAACCCGTGCTGACCTGCTTTCACGGTGCACGACTTCCCCCAGGTGTCTCGCTCCAGTCTCCTCCTCCTTGTTGTTGTTGTCTGCTCTCTTCAGCTCCCATCCAGCATCTGCAGTAGGCATCGCCAGAGGAAGCATGTTGGGCTGAAAGGAATGCATCCATGTATTCTTCCTTTATTACTTCAAATGGCCTCACAAGGCCCATAAAATGCTAATTAAATCACAGGACCCGAAGCGTGCGTGCATGTGTGTGTGTTTGCGTAACGTCTGAGGTCGCGTTCGGAGTTCAAACCCTTTGGAGGAGAGAGGACGGCCATCAAACATCTGCCAGCTTTGTTTTCCAGCACAGATTGCCATGGCAACGCAAGGCGGGCTTCATATGGTCGCCATGTGAGTAAACGGAGCACCTGCTGGGAGAGTCCATCATTAACGACTAATCGACAGACATGCCTGGCGTAGGGAAGGGCCCCGCGCGTTCCCATGTAGATAAGCCCTCGGCTAATTGCTGCCATTAAGTTGTTTGTCAAGAGAAAAAGCAACTGTAATGTCAGAAAATAGTTTATTTTTTGGGGGGGGGGCCCTCGTGACTACGGAGGGTCTCTTGTGGGGGACGTGGCCCAAACACGGTCGAGTCGACGGCAGCCGGGGCGCCTCACATCCTCTCGGCCTGCCGCCGAGGTCAGGAAATCAAAGACAAACGGCCAATTGTCAAGTTTTACACCTTGACCTCCGCTTAAACCCCCCCAGGCCTCCGCCTCCTTTAAGTTCGCCGCCGCTTCGGCAGTCAGGAGGAAATCGAGAGGTTAGCGGCGGTTCAGCCGTGATAAGAATCTTGGAATGGAGAAGTTCACGGAGGGGGAAAGGTTACCGAGAGTTTAAAGAGGGAGAGAGAGAGAGAGAGAGAGAGAGAGAGAGCAGCCAGTCATGGGGAGGATTAAATAAAAAAAAAATAGAAAAAAGTAGGGGAAGTCAGCACTGCGAGGAACTGCGCTGCGGTTTCAAAAGTGCACTGCCAGACAAAAAGACGTCTGTTTTGCTCGCTGGACTTGGCGTTCAAAGCCAGTTCAGGGGGGAAGCCGGGCCGTGAACTCATCTTCACCTTTAGAAAGCCTCGGCGCTGAAGCCGCTTCCCTGCAGGCTGACTCGCGGAGTCGTCAGGCCTCTGGCCCCTTCTGGGAAGCACTGGCACGGTGACGTGACGGATTCATAAAAAGGTCCTCTCCGTCGGGGTCAGACACATCCTCGGACACTCGGAGCACATCTGGTGACCTGTGCTGCGTCCTCCCACCGGTCTCTGTCTTTCCTGCTTTTGTTGAGACTCGGCAGCCAGATCAGGAGCACGAGACGTTTCTCTGTGGGGGGGGACGGAGAGGCAAATACAGGACATCCTCTCACTTCACTTTAACAGGGCGGTGTTTGATTACAGGAAGTGCTGTTTGGCTTTGATGTCCTTTTAAAAATAATCATAACTTTTAATATGAGGCCAGAGTCTTTGATGGCGGTGCTCAATTTCCCTAATGGTTGCTTTGGTTTATTGAAATTCGATGGGGGAGTAAAACACACACAATAATAAATGAAAAAAATATAAATAAACAACAGAAGATTCTGGCTTTAAAACATCTATATATAAAGAAAAATGCCGTTGACGGTTTAAGTTCACAAAAATACGTTTGGTATGCAAATGAGCTTCCGGCTGAGAGCAAATGTGATGGTTTGTTTTTTTTTGTTTTTTTTTTAAAGTGCGGTAGTCATTGTGTTATTATCGGCTTTAGCTTCCATACCTGTAGCCACAGCAGCCGTCGCAACACACAAGATTGTTCATCACTGTCACAACACAATGGACCAAGTGAAAAGGATCAGAGTGGTGGGCGATTAATGACGTCACCCGATCAGCTAAGAGACTGAAACGGTAAACCGTGTTGGTGGACATCAGCCGTCTACCCCGTCACAAATGTTTGCAGCCGTTTTTCTCAGCCGGACAACTACGGAGTAAGATAACTGTCGAAAAGACGTGCCGTATCACTCCAACGCATTTTACTCCACTGATGCGTCGGCTCCTCAGAAAGGTGGGAAAAAAAAAAAACCTTTCGACTTTTCACGCCTCCAGAGGAAACAGCAATACGCGTGAGATTCAACACCGGTTTAAGGGGCGCTCGCTTTCTACACCCTCGCATATAAACTGAGACGGTTATTTCTGTCCTCTGAGCAGAACAATGTCTCAATCACTAAGGAAGTTGTCAGGGGTCAATGTGTGAGGTCACTCAGCTGCGAGCTCCCAGTGCTCATTTCCAAAATGTGAGAAGCTTCGTGGAGGTGGCAGAACCGTCACAAAATGAAAACGTTTACTCCACCGTCAGCAGAACTGGAGACGATCGAGGAGTCGCAACTGTTCAGGTAACGCAGCCCGGACCAGCATGGACACGCATCTTCTTGACGGTTATTTTACTCCATCGTTCAGCTGCTTACTCACATGAAGGCCGTTTTCTTCCGTCTTCCTGAGGACCCTTATTGGTGATGAAGACCCCCGGGTCTCGTCGTCTTGTACTCGATCGTGCTATTTGGGCTTCGCTTTAAACATGATTTTTAAGCAAAATTAACATGAATTAAATTAATTTATGGAGGGTTTCACTAATTTCTTTCTACATGAGAGTTACAGCGAAAAGAAACGACAAAAAAAAAAAGAAAACCCCGTTATAACTCTTCAACATGTACAGTGAGTTAATGTTTCTGGCTCTTTCTCCAAAGCAACTTTCAGTATCTGGCAGTTATTCAGTAGAACTCTGTTGTCTTGCCCTTTAAACTGTTGTTGCGTCGTTACATACACAAACGTATACCAAATCCCATCTGTGCAGACTTGATGCTGAAAGGATCAAAAATGACTGCAAACACAAAAAGTCTGAACGGACTTCTGTCCAGCTCCAACTGATGATGTATCATAATCTAGTCTTTTGAGGAACTAGGAAGGAAACGTTTGATGGGAATATAAAACCAGCAGCCGATTAAGTAGATGACTGAATCTGTGGGTAGTTCGGACTTTCAGAGAGAACATCGGGAGTTGAGGGAATCAATTCCTATGGCTTCCCATTTCGAGAAAACTGTAATCGGCGCCACCCTAGTTTTGCTGCGGTCTGGCTACAGGAGCCGAGAGCCCGACAGACTGCCTGGACTAGATAAAGTACAGAGTAGAAGTGCTGCTACTAAAATGAACTTGGTGTACATAACAATTGTTATGCTTTTTGTTGCCAAAAATACTACATAACCATATGCAAAACAGTTTCAAATATTTGTAGGAAACGCTAAAATACAGGCGAGAGCGTTAGATTTGCTGGAGGTTGGCATACAGTCAGGATCTCAGATCAGCCCTGGGTTAGCAAAAACAACCGAAGCTCCATTTTTAGTGCAACTAAATAAGGTGACCATTCACCCATAATCAGGTAAAGGCATTATTTGACATCTAACAAAGTCACTCAAATGTTGCTAGAGCTGATTAATACATGGAGATGCTCATTTTCAGTTTTAACTGAACTGTTAGATACTCCAACACTTATAAACCATAGTTTATGCTCTCTGGCGCTCGCTCTAGTTATCCCAGTACTGAATCATGTCCACATCAAGCAATTCTCTCCGAATTTATTATTTTCTCCGCAAATAGAAACGGCGGCAATTTCTCATTTGAGCTAAAGCTTTTACCAAATGTTTCAGAAAAGAACTTGGAAGAGAGCACAAGTGGAAAAACAGGAACCCATTCATAACAGGTCATGCATTTTAGTACTTTATTTTTGAAGATATCAGTGCAAATGAACACCAAAAATGAAAACATAAAAAAAAAAGAAATATCATTTCAGATCTTCACATGAAAAAGAAGAAAAAAAAACAAAAACCCATCATTTTATATATATATTTATATATATAGATATATTTGCTGCTACAAATGTATTTCTTAGATGCACAATGCAGATCTATGATTGTACGTCAATCCCCCCTCTAGAGCCCCATGCTCATTCACAGAGCTTTAGTTAACCAGTAACAGTAAAGAAGGGAAAAAATAAAAAGTAAAAATCACAAAAATATTCAATCCACATTTATATTACACACCTCCCTCACATCCTTCAGCTTGTTCAACAGTCTGCTGTTGTTAAGGGGCTGCTCATAAAAGCCGACCTTTTTTGCTCTTTGATTCAGGAAAAAAAAAAAAAAAAAAAAGAAAAAAAAAGAAGACCTATTTTAAGACTTGACATTTTCCCCCATCACCAGTAGGGATACACAGGTAGTTCCCATGCGTCTGCATGCAACAGGCAGCAGTGAGGAGAGTCAGACATTATTACACAACACAGCGCAGGATAGATTATCATTTACCACATAGAGACACATGCAAAGAACGAACCAACCAAACAAAAACAAAAGAAAAAAAGAGAAGAAATAAAATAAAATAAAAAAGATGGGCATAGTATCCTCTGCCTTCGTATGTACACTTGTACGCATATAATCAATATTTACATTTCAGGGCATTAAAAACTAGGGCAATATCTTCTTTTCTTTTCTTTTTTTTTTAAACATTACAAAATAGTCATCTTCCATACTGAAAGTACTATGTACACAATTTATTCAACCATCGTGAAAACGTAGTAATAATTGAAGACGTATGTCAGAAGTATATGTATTAAAAAGACCACAAGACGAGATGAACAAAGCAGAGTGAGCTCAACCGGAAAGGTTACAGTACGACTGAAAAGTTAAGGAGCCGGACACCAGATGCCCTTCAAGACAAAAGGAGTCTCGGTGATTAGACTCCAGCTGCTCTGAAAACAGACAGAGTACCTGTGGTCTTCTCTTCATCGACATGCAATTCTTTTTTTTGACGCGTTATGAGTGAGAGAGGTTGCCACCGAAATCAAACACGCAATGCGGAGCACGACGTTTAAGAAATTATGACATAGAAAGCAAAAACAAAACAAACAAAAAAAAAAGAATCACAAATTACCAAATTCAGAAAAGATAACAATACTGACAGTATTTTGCCCCTCCCATCCCACCCCATTACATTACATGCTGTTAAATTATACTTTAAAGAAAAGAAAAAAAAGACACCGAGGGCTCAGCTTTCGATAGTGCACACTCCAGGTAGTCTTTTATATTGCATGAAAAGAAAAGCGCCACGTGCATCACACTCAAACTTCTTTGTGTGTGGATCTCTCTCTCTTTTTCTTCTTCTTCTGTTTTTTTTTTTTTTTTTTTTACCAGGATGGCAAGATAAGTCACTCAGACAAAGCAGCCTTTTTTTTCTTTTTTCTTTTACTGTTGCTCCAGAAACCCGTTTACACAGCCTTGCTCAACTGTAAGCGCCACACGCTCTCATGTTGACCCATCTGCTCAGAACTGCACGATCTGCAAACACATTACCCTGAATTTGCACTGTCGAATCTCGCCCTTAAAGGTTCAGCACGACAAAAAGGAAGGGTGGGGAAGAAAAAAAAAAAAAAAAAAAAACAGAAGAAGAGAAAAAAGCAGAACACAGTGAGTGAATCTCCACTGATGAATTCTTTCCCCACAGCCCTGAATTCTGAGGAAAGGCAAGACAAAAGCATTCATAGTGGCGCCACCTGGAGCGGAAGGTACTGCAGTGTGAATCTGTCGTGTGCGTTGTTTCAATTCAGACCACTGTAACTATCTGGGAATGGCTTTATCTGAAATCCCATCGGAAATTAACAGACGCTCTGATAGAGAAAATTAAAAACTATCCACCGAGCTGAGCACTGACGTTCTTTTTATTTTGTTTTATTTTTTAAATCATCAATTAGAAACGTTGCCCGAAATGTTCTCTGAATGTTTGATACGAGGCAACTTCCGGAACGCAGGAAAAACCGATGTGTGTACACTTTAGTGATAAATTAAACGTGTGACACAAAATATAATAAACGGGGACTTTACATTTCTTAATGTAGTGCGAAAATAATGGTGTATGAGTAGGGGCTGAAAAAATAATGAGTTAGGCTAAGACGGACCACTTTTTTTTTTCTTTTCTTTTTTTTTTAACCATTCCACGTTGAAGCTATTTAAAATTGAGACAGCAATACATTTTTTAAATCAAATCAAAAACAAAAAAAAAAGTGAAAAAGTTTTTTTTTTCTTTTTTTCCATCAAACCAATTTGGCAAGGTACACAAAAAAAAAATTAAAACAAGAAGGAGTCAATGGACATGATTCCACTTTGTATGTGTTTGTAGTTGATACAACTGTTTACTGCGACGACTGGCTCAACCCCTGGCCCTCATGGCTGTGCTTGTCATTGTGGGTTGGTGATTGAGGGGTGGAGCTCAGGCTGCGTTCATAGGTGTGCATGTCACTGACTGGCTCCTCTTTCACTCTGATCACGGGCCGGGCTCCTTCTGCCTGGTCCGGCACCTCTTTCCTCAGCTGGATGTTGCCCTTCTGCAACATGTAGTACAGGATCGGGTTGGAACGCGAAAGCCGCGGGGAGTCCGGGTTCGACTCACAACCCTCGTCCATGCCGTCGTCTTCTTGACTGTTCCACCGAATGGGGCTCTCCGGCTCCTGTTTGATTAAAGTAGGGGGCTCTCGTTTTTGCGTGGCGGGCCATGGAACCGGTTGCCGGATCCATGGGGCTGGGCGGATGGGGTTGTTGCCTTCAGGAGGGGTGGGCAGTGGTCTTAGATGATTTGGAAGCCCTGAGTTGAGGGAACCATGGGTGTGCCAGCTAGGCAGGTGGAGGAAGTTATGATTTTGTGTCGGCTGACTGAGAATGTTGCCATTGGCTTTGCCAGTGGTCTGCAGGACAGAGGGACTGAGTCCCTGTCGCGGCTGCTGGGACAGTTCCTTCAGACAGTTGTCAGAGAGCAGCAGCTGTTTCAACACGTTGAAGCCACGACTCTCTCTGGTAAGGGTTTCACTCATAGGGCTTCTTGGTGGAAGCTCCTCCTCTTTTAGACCCCTCTGCTGCTCAGGGTCTGCCTGGACAGTAGACGAGGCAGACATGTTGGCGTTACCACTGTCCACTGCTCTCGGAGAGCTGATGCTGTTCAATCTGTCTGTGTGTTCGGAGCAGAGCCGTCTCCTTTTAGGATTGGGGTTTGGATAGTCCCTATGCTCCTCTTTGACTTGTCTGGACTGTGGCTCAGGCTGCATTGTTGCAGTACTGGAGTAATAGGTAGTGGTCTGTTGTTTAAGCAGCTGGCTCAGGAGGCCATATTTCGCTATGACCTCTGCAGGCCTTGGTTCCGTCTTTAGGTCTTGTTGAGAATCGGAGAGCGGGCTATTCTTCCCATAGGAACTCAGTCTCTTTTTGCTGCTTAAGTCCTCCGACTTAGTAAGGGATGACCCTACATCCTCCGTAAGCTCTGATTTGATTTTTACATCCAAAGGGGACCCATTAGAGCTGTCACAGAGGATGGAGGCAGTAGGGCTCCTCTCAAAGCAGACGCCCTCCATCTCAGCACTCCCTTGGCCACTTCCACTGGGTCTTTCTTTGCGGCCGGCTGTAGCACCAGTTGAACCGGTGCCTAGAAGGAGCTGCAGCACAGTACGTCTCTCCAGAAGGTTCTCGATTTGTGAGGAAGGTGGGGAAGGTTCCTTACGACTGAAAGGTGTGCTACTGCCTGAAGCTCCATCAGACAGCGCGGTAGGGGTGGTCCTGTTGGCAGGCGTATTGAGTCTTTCCAACAGAGCATGGGCCCTGCTGTCATTGAGTTCCTGGCTCGCCCCTTTTCCAGAGGAGGTAGGTGGGGGTGGGGATGTCGTGCCACACTGCGCCAGATTTTGTAACAGTTTACTGGCGCTGAAGGCAGGCTCTGACGCTTTGTCAGCAGGGAAGGTCTTAGACTTGCACAAATCAAGTGGACTGGACTGGACATGGGGAGAGGGGTATGAATATGGGGACAGTGCAGCACCTGTGTCACGGCTAAGCGAGTAGACGGACTGGGACGGGCCTGCAGGCCTTTCAATTGGGCTCTTTGTTGGACCCTCTTCCCAAGAAACTGACCCCTTTTGTTGATTTCGTGACATGTTGGCCATAGTTATATCAAGGGGCGAATCTTGTCTACCTGTGCTCTTATTAGCCATTTCATTATTTCTGCGCTCAAGAAGAAGTTGCATGAGTGTGACCTTGGGGTGGGATTTTAGGTCTGGGTTCATTTCAGGCTCTTTGCTCTTGGACACAGTTGATCTCGATGGCTCTGGCTTCCATTTGTTTAGTAAGGATTCGGTCAATTTGTCCAAGGAAGAAGTAGAAAAGGAGGAGGAAGATGACGAAATTGGATATGAAACAGAAGAAACGGCCATAGAGGAAGGAGAAAATGATGTAGTGGGAGGCTGGGTAGGAGCTTGAGGAGATATTGTTACTGGGGGTGAGGAGAACGCAGTGGTAGAAGAGAACATGGAGCTGGAGGAGGAGGAAGGGGGTGTACTTTTGGGCCCTGTGTCCTGTAAACTGCTGCGGCCTCTCATCGAGAGGTCAATGGGAGAACAACTGGAGTAGGAGCTCTCAGCGTCACTGCTGTCCTTGGCGTTGCTCCTCTCATGGACAGAACATTCACTGTCTGATGTGACTGAAGAGGAGCCACTTGGTGGCAGAAGTCCACTGATGTCCTCCAGGTGCCCATTCTTGGTCAGTTGCTTCTGGTTGTTGTGGTTGTTCAACAGCAGCAGGAGCAAGCTGCTGCATGTTTGGGGTGGGCGGGTTGGACGCGTGTCAAAGCCTCGCTTCTCCCTGGTAGGCAGGCTTGGAGCGTGTGGGGGAGTGGGTGGAGAGCTTTGGCTGTGGCCTCTCTGTAGCGACGGATTCTGAGGATTGGTAGCAGCCGTTCGAGGGAGTGTCGTTGTTATTGTGGCTGTTGTCATTCCGTTTTGAGTCGATAAGGAGCTTAATTTGTCTGAAGACCCCCCCACACTTGGTGGCCTTTTGTCCTGACCATGCTGCTGGTTTGCCATGGCGGCCAGTCTTTCACTGGCAGATCTTCCTGAGAGCTGAGCTTTGAGGGCATGCTCTCTGGAGTATTGCTGGAGATGAGCTTCACTGGACAGCAGGAGGGCGAGTTGACTGCAAGCTACGCTGGGCTTGGGTGAGGGTGCAGGACTAGAACGGATTTTAACCATGTTGGCCACGGCCTTCAAACGTTCTGCACAGGACACAGAGTCGGTCGCTGTGGGAGCTGCAGGAGGTGTGGCGCTGTGTGCCGACCTAGGGGACTCCGGTGGCCTGTCCTGACTGTGGCCCCGGCGGCTGTAAGGGGTGTTGTTGTGGTTCTGCAGTTTGCTCTTCCTCATGAGGCCTTTAAGGCGACTGGAAGCTGTGCCGTAAACAGGTAGTGGCTCTTTATCTGTAACTGGTGCCTTTGACGGAGAAGAACACTCACCAGTGGGCTTATTAGAGTGCTGAGACATGGCTACACTCTGAAGCCTTGAGCTGAATGACTGAAGCAAAGACGCCAACAGGGTACTCTCTCCAGCATGGGGAGATCCCTCCAGGGCACCATTTTGCAAGGTCCCCACTTGGCCATTCAGCTCCACTGGAGGTGAACTCATTCTCTGGTTCCCTGGATCATTCCATGCTCCAGAGCGCAGCAACCGGGCCTTCTTTAGGTGTTGTGAAGAACCTAGCTTGGGCCCATTGGTTCCAGCCTTGGGTACCATTGGGTCATGGTTTGGTTGTGGTAAAGGCCCACCCACTTTATTGTCCTGCTCCTGATTGCTGTTGGAAGCCTCGGATCTCCCGCCTGCCGTGGCCCCAGGCCCGGCCACCACTGGATGCATCAGTAAACCTTCCAGATAAGTTAAAACAGCTGAATCCTTGTGTGTCTCAGGGCCAGGCTCCTCCCCATGAGTCATGTTCAATACTCAGATCCCTTCTTATAGCTCAGCAATGCTATTGGTAAATGATAGCTGTCCAAGTCATCTGGCTGGCAGTTGCACGCACTTGTTAGAAACCAAAAAGCGCTTGTGATTTGCAAAGCGCGAGTGTAAAGGCTTAATTAAGGTGCACCGGCTGTATGCGATCCCTCTCTGTGGTTGGCTCAGTGTGGTGAAACAGCCACCATGGCTGGAGGGAATCTGGTGCAGGCAAGCCTCCAAGGCATTGTTGTATGCCTTTAACTGCTACAGGATCCCAGAAGGCCCACCTTCACGCTCACATCAGCGGCAGTGGCGAAGTCAGTGGGACTCTATCACAGAGATGTTTGCATAATCCATCGTTGTTGATATCCAGTGTGTTTGTCCTTCAGCCTGGTTGTTGCTCTGTCAGTGGCGCCTTTATGTTTTGCAGATCTCAGTGTGTCGCAGGGTGACCTATAGGAGTGAGGGAGAGGGACAGAGAGGGAGGGAGGGAGAGGTGGTCGGGAGGAGGGAAAAAGAGGAGAAAAATAAGAAATCGTGTGAGAAGCAAGGATTTGCAGTGCACTATATCACATTCATTTCCCCATCTTGTCTGCCATCTCTGTTACTTAGCAACATTTCAGACTGACTGCACACGGCTCCTTCTCCTCTCTGCACTCTTCCCTCACAGCCACCCAACAGATTAGGCTTGATTAGATCCGAATTGAAAATTCAAGCCCACTACCTTGAAAACATTCAGGTCTTGAGCAGCAAGCCTCTCCCGGCAGCGTCTTTCACAAGTGAAGGGCCTTATGAGAGCTGTGCATAATTCTTTATGCAGGTTGTCATTTCAGCGGATTATCTCTCTCTACCACCTCCTGCCTTCTTATGCACTTGAGCTACATCTCACACAGCGCAACCCACGGTCTCAGTGGAGCAAAAGCCACCCACCCACGTACCCACCAGCAAGCATTTAAGCACTCAGGCTTAAACACACCAATAAGCTCTAGAATGAGGACATACAATAAGGTTCACTTGGAAGATTTTAGGTGCATTTAACCTGGACATAATATTAGGTTAATTCAGCCTTGCCAAAACACACACATGGAGTCAAAGATCGAATGGAGTACAGATTTAATCTACTCACACTGGTTGTCGAAAGTGAGAATGTGCTCAAATCTAAACAAGAGTCGGTTTAGGAAGCTTGCTGCTTTGGAACCCAAGCAGTCTGACACAATCACAAAAGAAAAGACATCAACAATGACTTTCATTATTTAGCAGTGCAGCAAGATTTAGATTCAGGGATCGCTGGATATGGAATTCCATAGCATTTCTCATTAAGTTGAAGATGAACGTAAATTTTCATCTTGAAGCCTGGACATAAAGGGAAAAATTTCAACCTTGGTTCACTGCATCAGTATTCTTACAGTCTTATTCCCAGACTCACATTGGAATAAATAAGCAAGCAGCTCTTGAGTTTTCCCTTCACTAATACTAGACTATGGGGGCACTGTGTGCCGAGTCAGAAAGTATACCACAGATTTATAATTGCTGTGAGAGTAGCACAACTTGCTAACTGTTAGCTGCTAAGGTTAGCATATGCTTCACTGCTTTCTACCAGTGTTAAGCCAAAGGGTTGATTCTAAATGAGTTCGGATTACCACTAATCTCTGGTTCACAATCTGGAACAAGATAACTCTACTTCATTTTTTCCGAAAAGACAAAAAGAAAAAAAAAAGAGTTTAAGATTGATGAAATCTTTATTTTATCTTTCTAATAAAAAAAATATGCATTTGTATTTTTTTTTTGTGCCATTAGGAACACTTCATACAGAAACAAATAAAAAATATCTAGAGGTTAAACAGTGCAATGCTCTAACAAAACTATAAAAACAACAACAATAAAAAAAACCAAATTCAAATAATAAAATAGAAAAAGAAAAAAAAGCCTATAGGCTAAAATTCATGCTAGTTTAAGACCAGACCTTCCTTCTTTAACATGTTTCAACACATATAGATCATTTACTGGGAGAAATCCTCTTCTCTGTAACATAGGCCAAGATAATAATAACAACAACAAAAACTTGATTTAAGCCAAGAACTTAAAAAAAATAAAGTATATTTTTCTCCTTTTTTCAGACGTCAGAATATTCAGGCTGAAATATAAATTTACTTCCACACATAAGAGTATGCGTTTCTGAGCAGGGGTTCAGTGTCGGTTCATTTCCTAAGCTCCAGTTGAAATTCCTCTGTGACATCAGCAGTAAGTGTGTTGAGCAGAGATAGAGAGACCCTGGCTCTTGCCTGTTTTCAGAGACTACCTGTGGTTCTGCGTCTTCAGATGAATGCGGCCCTTTAGCTTCTTACGTCTGCTGCGAGAAGATCCCGGCACCTGAGCTTAGATTTGTCAAACTTCCAGAAAAAGATATCGCCTAAGCAGTAATGACTGTCCGCATTAGGAAGCTCTTAGGAATCCTGACTGGGTCGCACCTTATGCAGAAGAACTGTCAGGTATGAGTCTAATCGTTTCTTGAATGAAAAACGTAATGGCACCTCAGCTAAGTCTGGAAAGGTTGTGTTAAAAAAAACAACAAAAAAAAAAAAACATTTGAGCCAAAACCCTCAGACATAAATGAGTCTGCTTGTTCCTGGTACAAAGAGGCATGTTTGAAGGAAACACATCAGCACAAATACTGCATACTAGTTGTCAGAGATTGTGGGGGAGGGTTAATGATCCAGACTGGGTTAACAGCTGCAAAACTTTGGCAACATCAAGTTATGAGTTCCTTGTAATGATAAAGTATCTTAGAGTCAAATGTGAGGTCAGAAGACAGCTTATACTTGTCAGGATAGGAAAATAGATCATGAGAGTAAATTTAATCTGTCACAAAACTGCTAAAAAAAAACAAAAAAAAAACTTTCTGAAAGAAAAAAAAAAGAAATGGGGCATTGCAAATGGACAGGACTGGTACAGAAGAGCAACTGAAAAAAGAAAGTTTTGATATTAAACGCTTTATTTTCCCCACTGGCCCTAATACTCTTCCATAGACTGGTGGACTAAAAAGAATAATAAATGATTTTCAACAAACTTTAATACAGTTTAACAGGGATGTGGCCAGGGATCTTGAGAAATTCAGAAGATGATAACTCCATGCTCTTAGTGGTAAGAGCAGTTTGACGGGTCTTTCAGGCAGCTCAGCATTTTGACGTCGTTCTTAAGAGGAATAGCGGAAATCTGACATGCGTCGCTATCTAGTCTCGGCTGAATTTATCTTATCTGGTGAGGACCAGATGAACACATCATGACATGTCACAGAAAACTCGAGCATTCAAACAGGGGTTGTGTTTTAATATGACCAAACACAGAGAGAGGTATAAAACATGCATAATGCATAATATCAAATGGACCTAGAAAGCTTCTGTATTGGGATAGAAGAGGAAAAAACATGAAAGGACTTGACTAGCGTGAGGGACGTTCACTGGTAAAAAAAACAAAAAACAGCCGTAGAGAAACAAAGCAAGGATACGTCTATATAACAAGTTGCACTCTGCTGTCAGGTGTGTGTGTGTGTGTGTGTGTGTGTGTGTGTGTGTGTGTGTGTGTGTGTGTGTGTGTTTGCGCAGACGTTACAGGTTCTCTCGGAAATTGGGCGGACCTGTCACAGCGCACCGTCGTCAGGAGGGCAGAGTCAGTAACGCCGGGGCGCAACGTCGTGCCAGTTGCCATGACAGTGTCAGCGGCGCTGCCCTGGGAGACCTCTGCTCTGAACCCTGTCAGCGTGGTTTCCGTGGATACAGGGCACCGCCGACAGTCCGGGCCGCATCTCATAAAGGTTAATTAATACAGAGCTTCCACTTCGGCTCAGCGGCTGTCCTTGTCCCGTCCCCACGCTGTCCTCACCTTTTGTGTCGGCGAAGCAAGCCGACGTCGCGGGTCACATAGCGGGACAGCAGAACCTTGTTTGTGGAGAAAGGCAACAGAAAACCTACTTAGCCACGAGCCTGAATGTTTCGCAGGGAGCCGAGGGAAGGTCAAAAACCTGAATCGGCCTTCCCCTCTCTGAGGCCAAGGTTCACAGGGTGCCACAGGATCAGGTGGTGACGGCAAGGGCAGCGAGGTGCCACAGTTAATGCCACCTTGAAAATGAACTGGGATTAAACACTAGAAATAAACTAATTAGCTTAGATTTAAATCTGAGTAGCAGGAGGGAGACAATCACATCGACGTTTTTAACGCGTTCTCAAACTAAAAGTTCACACGCCAAGTTTCTCCAGGCTAGGACAGCAGTGAAACCAACGAGTCCACCGAGAACGCTCCGTCGATCACAGTTTAAAGGCCATCTTTGAACTGCTGACCCAAATTTGGAAACGACAAAGAGCCAACCTGGTCACCCTGGGCCATCTGACGTCTGCCGTCATGCTAATCTTAGCTCCGCTGGATTAAGACTATTTTCCCGCCAGTGGGTTTAACACTGTCCTGATGGAATACCCCTAATGCCCGATTTGATCGGTGCGGTCAACATGTAAACATGTTTACCTTGGCAAGGGCCTGGCAAGATGACTAACATGCCAGGACCGGAACGCCCAGTGAGCAACAGGGACAAATGGAAATGGAAAGGAACGCATTCTCCCTGCTCCTGCCTGAGAACCTTGGAGTCGCAGTCCACCTTTGTTACCCAAAGACATATTTTAGTGGATATTATACCACTGCAGTATAGAAGTTCTTGCACGACTCAACCCTACAGATTACGTTTATAAAGTTTTTCTTTGGAAATTAGCAGAATTCTTTTAAAAGGGATTTTTAAGGTGAGGTTCTGTTAACAGGAGATAAGCAGCTCATTTCTCACCTGGAGACGCTACAAACTTTACACCAATGAAACAGAGAGGCCAACCAAAGCCAACCTTTACTAACGTAAAACAACTAGAGGCAAAAACGTAAGAGATTGATGTGAAACCAGCTTTAATTTCGTCACCATGCTTGCACTGGATGGCTCTTTAATAAAAGGCCGATAGTCACTCAGATGGGAAACACAGGATGGAGGCGGTGAACCTCGGATCTACCTGAACGAAGCAAATACTCGGAATGGACCTAGGAAAGTGTTTCAGTAAGAGTGACTGATGTTTAAGTAGAAAACCTGTAAAGCCCCGCCTATTCATGGTTTATTACTCGCTAATTAATTGCAAAAAAATTCACCTAATTGTAAATTTTTTTCATAAAGCACATTTAAAAAAGCTGAAAGAAAATGCAGCTGGGAAACTGAAATACCAAGGGCGCAATGCTAATTGATTCGCTACATGCTAGTGTTCACAACGTAGCCCATCTAAGGGTGCAACTAATTTTCCTTGGCGGTGATTGGCTGTTCCAAGAGTGGAGAATAAAAAACTGTAGTGCTACAATAGTTTCCTCTGTAAATACCAATGTATATTTGGAGTACAACCTATTAAAACAGGCATTTTTAAGCGTTTTAAGAGCGG